CCCCCCCGTTGCCTGTATCGATCACCTTGCACTCTACAGATTAGAGAGATGCTTGCAAGACAGACTGTGTTGGAGGCATTTCAGAGAATATGTTCTGCCAACACCAACCTGGAAAAAAAGGCTTTGCGCTAAGCACGTTAAGTACGAGAGGCCGCAGCACACCTTCCCTGGGAGAAGCAACGCTTTTTTGCATAGGAGGTCAATCTTGTTCTAGTGCCACAGGTTGGCTCAACTCCCACAGATCCTCGCCCTTAAAACCCATCTTGGATGCGTTGAACACAAGATGGCTGAATTGGATTCACTGGGGGGGGGGAGCAAGGACAGAGATGCCCATCTATCAGAAGCCTCAGACAGGTATTAAAACATGAAATTCCCAGCCCAGACCTTTGCATCAAAAGGAGTCCAATCTCTGGCTTGAAAAGATCCTCAACTAATTTGCCCCACTGTTGTGTTGTGGATTACACAACCCACTGATTGAGCATTGTCCTGTGTCTTCTATTGACTTGACCGGTGAGCCCACACTCACATTGCAGGCAGGGAGGAAAATGCCCCCTCTGCTTCATCAGCCCACCTCCTCACCCTGCTGCCTCGAGTCCCCGATGCGGTGAAGTACAACCCTCCCCTCTCCCGCTCCGAGAGCCCCCCTAACTAGATGAGTCTCAAAAGCCAGGGGAAGGAAGCCAAAGCAACCCTGGTCTGCGGGAAACATGGCCCACTCATTCAGAATCCCTTGGACAGGCCAGTGACCAGAACGCCGCACCAAGTCAGCAGTCCTAGAGTTGGCAGGGGGCAATGAGACCATGCCCACCCTCCTCCTCCACCAGGAACCCAGACCGAAGCGCCCCACGTGACTCTCGCGTCAGCTGAGCCAAGAACTGAAGACCGCTGGGACAACAGGCAATCGGTTTCACGGTCATCCTGCCATGACATCTTCACAATGCTCAGTCAGAGTCTTCCTCGAAGCGGTATCCTTCCGGACACACGAAGAGCACCATCCTGTGCTCTAGCGCTCCTTTCATCTCGGTTTGTACTCTTAATTCGTATTCCTCTAATCATCTTTGTTGCCCTCCCCGAATCCTGAAAGTGGGACTGAATGCCATACACAAGGTGGAGTTGATTCTTTCATGTGCTTGGAAATTACTCTTCTGTTGGAGCAGCCCAACATTGCACTGCCTGCTTTCCAGCCACATCACACTACTGCTTTATCAAATCCATCAGATTTTGACATTTTATTTCTGTTTCCTAGGTGGCAGCTCATATATACAATTTTGGTAACTACCCCTTTCATGTCTTCATCCAAATCATCAATGAAAATATTGGATCCAGGACTGATCCTTGTGGCTCTTCACTTGATCTCTCTCTCACCAGTTTGATAAGGTTCCTTTAATGAGCACAAGCATAACTTTCCAAGCCAGCTACGGAGATACTTAAATGACCCTCCAGCTCATCAGCAATTTGTCATATACTTCACTGATCAAAGTATCATATGCGTTCATCAGTCTCACAGTTCATTAAGAAAGCTCCCCAATTAAAAAAAAATGTTTGTCTCCTAAGATTTAACAAACCCATTCTGGATTTTGCTTATTACTGCCCTGTTTTTTTAAAGGAGTTGACAGACCTATGATTTGCTCTAGATGATTTCAGATGCCAGTGTCAGAGTGCCTGATCTGCCATCTTCCGGATCTTCCTTTCCCCCTTTTTGAAAACAAGGATAGCTTTTGCTCTCCCCCAGTCATCCAGCGCTTCATCGGTTCTCCAGGAGTTCTCAGATAACATGCAAGGTTTCATCTATACCATCAGGCATTTCTTTTAGTCCCCTGGGATGCCATTTACACCACCCGGACCAGAGTGTAAAAGGGATTCTCGGAGCATGTAGATATTGAACTTGGACTGCAATCCTGTTACTTCTAGCAGCTCTTTGCATCTCTGCTCAGGGAAGACCGAACCAGCATGGGGCTCAAACAGTCTTGCCTTCCTGGTTAGCACTTTTCCTTCATTGAGCTGCTGGAATACTGATTCTTTGGAACATACCTAAAGATCTCCTTTTAATATTCTTAGTATCCTTCACTAATTCCAGTGCACTCTGAGCTTTTGCTTTCCAGACCCCCAGCTCTACTGTTTTGGACTGTCTATTCTCCTCCTCTGTGACCTCATCTCTGTGTCCTTTCTTGTTCCCAGTCCAAGATTTGCGTTGCTGTTACGTATTCTTAAACTCAAGAAGTCCAACGCTGCATTGCTGCTTTTGCAATATTCCTGCCACATCCACTTCCTCAACAAAGTCTTCCCCGCTTGCTGGTATCAGCCTGGGGACAACTGATCCGCTTGTGCCCATCCTCTGCAAGCCCAGTCTGTCAGCCAGACACATCAGGAATGTCCTGGAAGGGCTGGGTGGCTGAGCTGGTCCGCCAAGAGAGACTGTGGGATAAGTGAAGCCTTCTATCACGGCAACTTCCGGCCCCTTTGAAGGAGCTGAATTTGGGTTTGGGAAGGCATCACCCACCGCTTCTCCCTGATCAAAAGGGCGGTAACAGACTCCAAGCCCAGTACTGCTTTTGATTCTCCAGAGATTAACTCAGATGCTGTCTGTGGCATTGCCAAATTGGTTCATTCTTTCTGAGCAAGCATGGCTATGTTTAACCCAGGATGAGTTCCTCTCTTTCTAATACTTCTGTTACTTTTCAACAAGCAGTACCTTTTAACTGCAGTATCCCACTCATGAGAATGTCTCCACCAGGACTCCATTACACCTACAGGTAGTCCTTGCTTAATGACCCTAATTGGGACCAGAATTTCTGTCGCTAAGCGATGTGCTCATTAGGTGGAGTATCACATGACCACCCCACTTGGCAATGGCAATTTCCAGAGTCCTGGTTGTGGTTGTTGGGCCAAGACAGCACCGTTGTTAGGTGAGGACCTCACACTTCTCCTGCCTTGCCATGCTCACCTCTGCTTCAACTCTCCCCATCCTATCTCCCCCCCATCTGCCTTTTGGCTGCCCTGCAGTCTGCCACCCTGCACCCCTGCTGCCCTACAATCTGTCTCCCCTGCCACTTCCAGCTGACCTCTGCCATGTTCTTCCTCCCGCTGCTGACAAGGTGTGCCCAGCCTGGCCTTCGCAAGGCAGCTGCTGGCTACACGTGGCTGTCCTGAGGCAGGGGCAGGGTGGCAGGGGGAGTGGAGTGCAGGGTGGCCAGAAGGGCAGAAATGGGGGGAGATAGGTGGGTGGGGGGAGTTGAAGAGTCCTTGCGGTTGTAAATGCAGGCAGGCTGCCAAATGCCCAAATTTTGATCATGTGACCGCAGGGCACTGCAACAGCCGTAACTTCAAGGACCAGTCATTACTACCATTTGTTCAGAGCCATCATAACTTTGGTTACTGAACAAATGGTCGTTAAGCAAGGATTATCAGTATTAATTTGTCTTTCTGGGCTAAGTACTCAAACTAATTTTATTTTCCATACTGAGTGTAGTGCATAGGTAGTAATGGCCATTAACTTTAACAGCCATCAACTTTACAAGTAGCTCATCTTCATGAAACCAACATGGAATCAGAGCATTACCTCCACAAGGTAATCCTACTACCAGCCAAATTCCCATGACCACAAACTACACTAGCTCACACAGTGGGGGAAAAGTGGGCTGGCCTTGTTCCTTAAAGGTCTCCAACCAACCATTTAATTTGCAAAAAATATGGGACAACAGACATTCCAAGTTTTTCTAAAAACAAACAGAAGCATTGTTATGTTGGGAACAAACTACAACTTTAAGCTAGCTTTCTTCACCCATCCCAGAAAAGCTTCAAGTTTAGATTCCAGAGTAAACGATTTTGCATCTCAGCTCCATCACTGAGGAGTAACAAGTTCCACTGAGGTTTGGCAAGGATCATGTGGCCACAAGGAGCCATGCAACACCAGAAGAGGTACCAATGAGCTAATTTCATCCAACAGCTCTTGGCCAAAGTCATGGGCTAAATTCTCCAGAAGCTCTGCCTCTCTACCATTAGAGAGCCTCTCTCCTTGCGCTCAAGGAGAAGACTGGCCCCTGCCTGGCACAGTAATTTCCAGCTGCCCTGGGGTCAACATCTTCTCTAGGGAATGGCTCCCTCTCCTCTAGTTTTGCCAGGCCATATCAGCATGACTTCCTCAAATGTCTCTTCCAACTTTCAAGGTTGGCATGAGATCCAAAGTGCAAAGTGTTACAGTTCCTGCTTCTATTAAAATTTTTACAAAATTAAACAAACCAAAGGAAGAATCAAACTCTACATGAAAGGCAAGTCTCCAGAAGCCATCCCCTCCCAGAAATGCTCCAGGACTGAGTTCCTTCCAAGGCAGTGGGTCACCACCACACTGTCTGTCAGGGACACCTTTGTTCGCAGGGATGATGTTGGCTGACTTAAGTCCCTCACCTGAAGTACCTTCCTTCCTGAAACATCTCAAGAGTGGCAAGAAACTGTCCTTCAGGCCACCAGCTGCCTGTTGCTCCCCCACTTTCTCATTTCAGCAGCCATGTTCCTGATAAGGCATTATTGCTCTATAAAAAGCTGGCAGGGATGTTTCAGTGCCAGCTTTGTATGCAACTCAAGTTCCAGTGTCAGTGGGCCAGTCCAGTGCCTTCCTGGAGAGCAGAGAATCCTGGATGCAACAGTGGGAGATCAGAGGCCTGTACCTCGCTCCTGCCCACAAGAGCAAAACCAAGAAAGAGCACAGGTTGTGAGTCAAGGCTGGAGGATGAAGATGAGCTAATGCTGCGCTCGTGACACGTACGGACCTTTCCAAGCCAAGCTGAAGAGGGACCGTGCTTTCTGACTGACTGTTCTCTCCGAAGGCAGCATTTATTATGATGAAATGAAACTGTCAAAGAGGACAAGTGGGCAGCCCAGCCTCAGTCAGGCACTTTCCAGGTCATCCCCACTGTCAAGCGGGGCCTTTCAGGGTGGCCTCTGCTCCTGGGTGGGGCTCCTCTTTCCTGCAGAAAAGGGGCGGGGGGGAGAGAGAGAGAGGTTAAGAGTTGCTGCCAAAGGCAGCTTATTTTCCATCATCTCGGATATGCTATCAGTACAAATCCCCCTTGCAGCCTAATTCCCACAGGGCTTTGTGCCTCCCCGCCTTGTGCATCCTAAAATAACAGAAAGGGGAGCTTGTTTTCTTGCAGCCCTGAGAAAGCCAGCCTGCAGGAGCCAGGATGGGGCAACTGGCCTATCTCCCTTCCCAAGAGATTCAAATGCTTCACAGGGAAAGCATGGATGGCTCTAAGATTGAGTAGAGGATTCCATTTAATAACTACTCACTGTATCTGGAGGTTCCACTTGAAGTCCTTCCTAGATCCAACCTTGTCAACACACACCAAGTCTCCCCTAATCAAGGAAATGGTCCTATTGCTAAATCCTATTGCGTCTGAAATAAAATAGCTTGGCCTGGCTTGATTAGCCTTACATGCCCTACCGGGTTCTCTTGCTGCAGAACAGCAGCCATTTGGCCAAAGACAAAACCAGAACTTTTTAAGTATAGAAAGAATGTGCCATCTGTTCAGGACTTAACACGTTATGAAATGTAATTTTAACATATTAAGATGCGGTAACAGGCAAATGGGCTGACTTGCTGTGTATTACCGAATCCTGGTTGGGTGACAATGGGGATGTAGCCCTGCTTGAAATTCACCTAGCTGGCAATCAGATCCTGCACCACTCAAAGTCCTTAAGCCCAAGGAGGTGTGCATGACTCTTGCAATGACGCTGAGAACAGCACCAGGGATGACTTGTTGCGTGTGCCTTTGCGTGGAACTGGGCCATTCTGACAAGCCCGAGCAGCAGTCAGCGCACTGACTGGCAGGCGCTCGGCAGCAACCTTCAGAAGCTCCTTGACACTGTTTCAGGGTCAATACTGGAATTACAAGGCTGCTAGTCTTGGGGGAATTCAATCTCTGGGAAAGGGATCTAACGTAGCTCATGTGTTTATGGCCTCTAAGGGGACCATGGGTTTGTCACAAGAGATCACAGTGCTATCTCACATGGGAGGGCACGTGCTTGATCTAGTATTTACTTAGATGCAGATAAAACATGCCCTGAAGATGAAGGACATCAACATCTGTCCTTTGCCAGGATCAAATCACTGCCTCATCAAACTGCAGTTAATGGACACACTGAATCTCTGCAAGGGCTGAGGACTGATTAGAAGGCAAATCCCATGGAATGTGGAGGCGTCGAGGGCGTTTGTTGAGATTGCTCCAGTGAGGCCTCTGCCCAGTCCCCTCTCTTGCTCGCTTCAATTTATAGGGCCGCCCATCTCAAATACATCACTCCCGAGAAGTTATTTGATTGACTAAGGAACTGAGGGAAAGGAAGAGACCAGAGATACCCGAGGGTGACCACAACAATGGCCAGGAGTGACGCAGCCAAGCAACAAGAAGAGTACATGGTAGGCTCACACAGCGGCAGAGTACGATTTTTTCCTTACTGCTTCCAGATTCTCACCAGGTGGCTCTGTTCAAGATTACCCAGATTCCAAGGAGACAATGGATGGAGCAAAGCACTGACAAGCACATCAGATGAGTTTGTGTGCTTCCTTGAGGATAAAGTCACTTATATATGTTTAGGGTTAGGTGCCAGTCAGGGAGTGTCTACTGTGGTGAATGAGACAGCATCTTATGCAGCGATCTGAGATTCCTTTAATCTTTACGAATGTGAAGTGGATTGAATACCCCTACTTGATCCATACTGGCTTTTTCAGGCAGCCAGGTAGAAAGTGAATTCGTGCTAAGGTTATTGATTTCAGGAAATAATTAATACCTTCTTGAGGGAAGAGATCATATAACCCCTTTCAAAATGGTGCAGCTGTGCCCTCTCTGGAAAAGGCCTTTCCTGGATTTGAGCACTTTAGACATCCTTTGTTCAATCTCCAACCTTCCTTTTCTAGGGAAAGCTGTTGAGAAAGTGGTGGGGAATTAGCTACAGATGATTCTGGATAAAACAGATTATCTGGATCCTCTTCAGTCAAGATTCAGACCTCTTCACAGAAGAGGAATGGTACTGATTGCTCTGATAGATGACCTTCATCGGGGCCTGGAGAATTGTATCCCTCTAGGTTCTTCTAGACCTTTTTGTGGTGGTTAGCACCACCGTCAACTACGGTACCCTTCTGGCCTGCCTCTACGGGGTGGGAGTGCAAGGCACTCTTTTATAGTAATTCCATTCATACCTGATCAGGTGGCACCAGTTGGTGGTGCTAGAGAAGTACTTGAGGCCTTGTGGGGTTCCCCAACTCTCTGTGCTCTTCCCTATGCTGTGAAATATCTGCACAAAGCTTCCAAAGAAGGTCATTCATCAATCTGGGGTGAGGTGTTGCTCATATACTGATGACGCACAGTTGTGTATCATCACCCCCGGCCAAGCCAAAGATGAAGTCAAAGTCTCAAACTGGTGCTTCAAGGCTGTGAGGATGTGGAGGGGGCAAAGAAGCTTGAATTACATCCCTCCAAGATGGAGTGCTATTCATCCGTAGACAACATGGCAGCTCAACAATGTTAGTGTCAGTAGTTACTCTGGGTAGGCCTCCTGGACTTGCAGTTCCTGCTTAAACAGTTAAGTAGAAGCTATGTCCAAGGGGAGCTTTACTCAGTTTTGCCTGGTGTGCCAGTTACAGCCTACCTTAGACCCACATATCCTGGTGCTCTTTAATCACCACTTAGTTGGACTACTGCCAATCAATCTACATGGGTCTACCTTTGTAATGGTATGTGGGAATGACCTTGGGAGACAGGGAGAAGGGCCGCAGCCAGAGGAAAGGTCGGATAAGAGGCAGCTTAGCCCACAAAAAGAATGTGGGTATGGCAAACATCTCAGAAGGGACCCTTGGGCTGTAAAGGCGACAGGGGAGAAATGTACTTTCTTTAATGATGACCTATACGTTACAGCTGGTACAAAAAGCCTTATTTCTTTATTTATTTGATTTATCCTACCTTTATTTTTTTTGTGAACTAAAAAAAAAAAAAGGCAGCGTATATACCTTATGCTCCCACTTATTTTCCCCACCAGAACCATCCTGTGAGGTGGGTTGGGCTGAGAGAATGCAACTGACCCAAAGTCACCCAGATGTCCATCATGCCTAAGGGAGGACTAGAACTCACTATCT